TCCATACATATTTATAGACTCTAAACTCATAATAATCCTAGGAGTCAAACTGTTAGACTCATAATAGTCTTAGGAGTCAAACTGTTAGACTCAATAATCCTAGTAGGATTCAAACTAAGCTGTTATATCCTAATTCAATTCAAAGAAGACTCAATAACTCTAATCCTACTTATGCAATGACTCTGAAATTTTAAGCATAAGCAAACTATAACTAGACAATTTAAACCCTATCATTGGACCCTACAGAAAATTGCAAAAATGACAAAAATACCCCTACTATCCTAAATACAGAAATACATAAAATATCATAATATTCCAAGTTTGACTCTTCAGCTCCTGCATCACTTGATCCCAATCTGGAGAAGAAAACAAGAAGAAATATGGAGGAAGAAGAGAGAAGAGAGAAAAGAGAGAGAAGAAAGGAGAAAGATTTGAGAACAGCAACAGTCCGGTGGCGCCAGATTTTATTAGTATATATAGTGCGACAATAATAAAAAGGCAAAAAGACATTACTGTCCTTGTGGCACATATAGTACAAAATGCTAACTATTCTAACAAATACTATCTAATAAATGATTTCTTTTGACAATAATTAAATGCACTTTTACTAATTAGAAAACAGGTGTGCAACTTATGGAAAAAGAAATCGCCACATGTGAAGACCACTATTTTGTACCAATTCAAGTGGTTTTGGGAATATTGTTGCATGTTTCTAGAAGTATAAAAGAATGGAAGAAGACAAGAATCTTCACTTGGCTAGCTTTCTAAACTGATGAATGGGGTTGGCAAATTTGAAATTAGTAGAGAACCTTCTCCCTCTATGCTAACTAGAAATCTTCAGGCTTTATCAAATGCTTGTATTTTCTAATCTATTGTAAGAACTATGGAGGGCTGGAGTATTGAGCAGAAGTTAACCAGTAACTTGGGACTAGGTGGAGGTACCAATGATTCTTTTGGACTTGGGATTATTACCACAGATAAATTAGATGTTACAACTTGTCAGAAGTTGGTGGAGAAGAATGGAGTCTTTGAGTTCTTGGTTGGACTAAACCTTGGATTTGATATTGCCGGCAACCATCCTTCCCAGAAAGAGTCGACTCTTTCTTAAGCTCATGCCTTTGTGTCTAGAGAGGAGAGTAGGAGGAATGTTATGTTGAGACAATCTGGGATTGACCAATCAGCTATGGCTAGTACAATCAAGCCTAAGTCAAATAAAGACATGGGGAGTAGTGAGATCAGGAGGGAGGATAGGAAAGATTTTGGTGTGTAACTATTGCAAGAAGCCTAAGCATACCAAAGACACTTGTTGAAAGCTCCATCCACATCTCATACCAGCTTGGGTAAAGAACAAGAAGGGAAATGCAAATGTGGCAAGTACTAGAGACTCTTCGAGACCTCTTACCTAAGCCGGCTTGGAGTCCATTGCAATGGCAACAGTCAAAACTGAATTGGAGAAGTATAGACAGCTTATGAGTAAGAAAGATTTGGTTAGTTCTAGTTCTTCAAGTGGGCAACAAAGTGCAGGAAATCCAAAAGCCAATCACACTACTTCCTTTGCTCATACAGGTAGTTCATATGCAGTTGCAAATTATGCATCCACCTCGAGTAAGGAGGGACCTCATTGGATTATAGACTCAAGAGCATTTGAGCACATGACCAATATGTTTACCCTTTTCAATTCATACTAATCTTCTTTCTGTGAGTGGCTTGACAAAGAATTTGAACTATTCAGTGACTTTCATTCCTGGTAATTGTGTTTTGTAGGATCTGGAGTAAAATTAGGATGATTGGGAGTGGTCATGAGGAGAGTGGTGTCTACCTTCTAGATGAGCTTCCGAGACATCAGAGCCACCATGTTAGTAGCAGTAGTAATGGGTTAGAGTTAGCAAGTTAGATTATGCTCTGGCATAGTCGTTTAGGTCATCTTTCTTTTAGTTCATTAAAATGTTTGTTTCCAAAATTATTTGAGCTTGTTTAGTTATCTAGTCTGGAGTGTGAAAGTTGTCAGTTGGGAAAGCATTGTAAACATTCTTTTAAACCAAGTAATAAAATAAGTATTTCTTCTTTTAATATTGTTTACATTGATGTATGAGGACCTTATTATATTTCTTCCATGGGGGGTTACTACTATTTTCTTTTGTTTGTGGATGATTACCCTCAATATTCTTGGATATATTTGATGAGATCACATTATGAGGTATCTATTTTGGTGCGGAAATTCTACCAAATGGTTCTCATACAGTTTGGAGTGAGGGAGATTGATGGTTCTCATCATTCTACCAGATGGTTCTTATACTGGTTGTCTTATAGGGGATGGTTTGAGGGAATTTGATGCACTCAAGAAGTCACTACAGCAAGAATTTGAGATTAAGGATCTAGGTAAACTAAAATATTTCTCAGGGATTGAGGTTGCAAAATCTAAGCATGGGATATTCATCTCTCAGAGGAAGTATGTATTGGACCTACTGCAGGAAACTAGGAGTTAAACCAACTGATACTCTTTTTGATCCATACCACAGGATTAATGCTCTGGATGGTGAGTTGGTTAAGAAGGTGGGGAGATATTAAAGGATGGTAGGTCGGCTACTATACTTGTGCATGACACGCCTAGACATTTCCTATGTTGTGAGTGTTGTGGGTCAATATATGCATACTCCTTAGGTTCAACATTGGGAAGCTATTGATAGGATACTTGCATACCTAAAGAAACATCCTAGAAGAGGAATTTTATTTACAAACCATGAGAATTTGAAATTGGAGTCCTATACAAATGCAGATTAGGCAGGTTGTCTAGATGACAGGAGATCTACATCAGGGGTATGTACCTTTGTGGGGGAAATTTGGTTTCATAGAAAAGTAAAAAACAACCAGTGGTGGCAAGATCAAGTGTAGAAGCCGAATATAGATCTATGGCCCATGGTGTCTCAAAATTACTTTAGGTTAGATCCTTGCTGAGTGAAATTGGGATAGATGCAAAGGAGCCCATGATGTTATATTATGACAACCCAACTGCAACCAATATTGCCCACGATCCAGTTCAGTATGTCAAGACAAAGCGTATACCCGGCACACGATACGCTACGACTGAAGGTGTATCTTGCCATTCATGTGTATCGAAGCGTATCAGGTCGATACAAGCGCATATTGCCTTGTATCGGTGCATACCGGTCCGATACCATGCGATACGGACTGATAGGCGCGAGCTTGTTTATTAAAAGTTAAAGACAAATGCATGACTCGAACCTATGTCTCCCTAGATGGCAAGCGCCTTTATCTTAAGGCAACTCCTAAACCATTAAGGCAACTTCGTACTTGTGTAAATATTTAAAATAAAATAACTTTTATTACATATAGCATCTATATAGTACATGTAATTCAAATAAATATTATATTTATGTTCAATAATTTTAACCAAAAATTATAAAGAACAATATTCAAAATTGATATTATATAAACCAATGGAATACATAATCTATCAAATCTACATTAAAATCAAAAGATGATTTTAATCTCAAGAAATTTATGCAAATAAAATAATTATTTTAATACTTAAAAATTAATATATATATATATATGTATTAAATTATTAATTCATTAATATTTTAATTTACATTACCTTAAATAACAACATATTAAGTATTTACAAAAATAAAAAATGTTTAGAAAATATTTGAGTATAATATTAAATAGAATCTACCAATTCTACTAATCAACATTTAAACAAAAAATGATTTTTAATTTTAGAAAAAACCATAGAAACAAAACTATCAACAATGTAATAGTTATATTAGTAATTAAAAATTTGCATATATATATATGTGCATATATGTATCTTAGAAATTTTAACAGATTTGATATATTTTAAATTGAAATTATATTTTTTATAAATTATTAATTGATATTTTAGTTTACATTTGAGAATTTAATATTTAGTTGACATTTTTGTTAATGTAAAAAATTAAAAATAGTAAAATAGAAAATAATTGATATAATAATTAAAATATAATATGTGCATTTTTTATGTGTCTTGGATTCTTAATTGATGCATTATAAATAAAATTGTGTGATGTTTATGCATCCTGTTATATTAATTGCAATATATTTTATCATATATACCATTAAAATGTACATTTCCTTTGTATTTATGCATGATTTGTAACTATTTGATTTTAAATTTAGTGTTATTAATATATTTATGGAATTTATTTGTGTTTCCCTAATGTATCTAAGCGTTCCCATTTTTTTCATCCGTATCCATGCATTTCCAAGGCGTATCCGTATCCAAGTTGTCCAATACGATACTCAGTACCAATACTTTGATCCTTGAGCCTGCCTTATGTCTCCTATGAGTTACAATTAGCTGATACCAAAGGGGTTGCAAAGAACAAACTTGAACATGACCTATGCAAGTTGGGAATGTATGACATTTACTCCCAACTTGAAGGGGAGGGTTGAAGATTTTGTGCAGATTTGTTGGTTAATTTGTTTAGTTAGAGAGTAGGGACCACAACACACTTGTTGGGACCCTTTAGAGTGGTGTTTTAAAGTATTTTATCGAGTATTTTGGGTTAGCCGCCCTATAAGGGCATATTAGTCATTATACATGATTTTACTTAAAGTATGAATATCAATAAGAGGGGGCAACCAGATCTGATAGCTCTCTCATTCTTGTCTCCATTCTCTCTTCTTCTCTCTTCTCACAAAAACTTATTTTCTTCTTTCTCTGCAATTTTTGTTTCTGTATATTTCTACTAAGGCAAAGTATTGAATTGATTTATAATAAATTAATAATGTGCAAAAAGAAAGTACATTAGCCAATCATCCAAAAAAGGTCCAACCTGCAAAACATAACTTAGTTGGACACGCTGAAATATTCTTTGTACACCCAACCAAGAACTATGCAAACCTATAAGATTACTTTTAATTTCCTCCATGTCAGAATATTTATTGTCAAAAATACGACTATTTCTTTCCTTCAGATTAACCAGATGATAGCTGCCAGGAAAATATTCCATAATAGTTTATCCCTCCTGTTCAGACCTTTAGTTTTCCAACCTCGCAGAATCTGTATTACTGATTCCAGAAAGCAGATAATCTTTCTTTAATGTGTGAAAGGCTAGCGTCAATTATTCATAAAAAAAAATTGCTAGTGTCAATAAGGTAAGCTACATGCATGTGTTCTTTGAATTTCTTTTATCTTCCTTTCAGATTGTTGACTGAAAATCCAGTCCAGAGACTTGGAGCAACTGGAGCTGGAGAGGTAAGGTCCTATCTGTTGTTGATGAATATATATTATATGCAACTCTGCACATTAAATAATGGTAGAAGATTAGCAAAAAAGAATGATCATTGTGGCAGGTGAAGTGCCATGATTTCTTCAAAAACATCAACTGGGACACACTTGCCAGACAGAAGGTCATTTTCCCTTTAGTTTATTTTCTCTTAAACTAATTTTCTTAAATGCCACACAAACATTAATGGAGTATGGTCTTATTATTTACAGGCTGCATTTGTTCCATCAGCAGAAGGTGCATATGATACAAGTTATTTCACAAGCCGTTATGCATGGAATTCATCAGATGAGCAAGTTCGTTCAGCAGGCTATGACTCTGATGACACGACTGAAACTTGCAGCATATCCTGTAGTGGTAGCTCATTCAGCAACCCACAAGATGAAGATGTATAGACAATTTTCTTAGACCATTCAATTAATATCTATAGACTGTATATCATCCTTTTTAAGTTCTAACGGTTGGATGCCTGTGAAACAGGGGGATGAGTGTGGTAATCTTGCAGATTTTGGAACTCCCACCCTTTCAGTGAAGTATTCATTCAGCAATTTTTCTTTTAAGGTAAACCTGCTATAGCTGGATATCTTTTGATGCATTTTATTTATTTAAGAAACCAGGATACAACTCTTCTTTCTCTTGTATATTCAGAATTTGTCTCAGCTAGCTTCCATCAATTATGATATGCTTCTAAAGTGTAGCAAGGATTTTTCAGAACCTTCCGATCCTTGAATCACAAAACAGTGAATTTAGATAGTTGCTTCATAAACAATGAGTTACTCTCATGGATCTCCTGCGAATCTCTGTTTATTCATCTACCTTCTTTCACGTCTGGATGTTGGTGATTTTGTTTCGGAAACAACAAATGTTCATGAAGAGCAAAGTTTGATCATCTAGGTAGAATTGACACCAGGTGCATATATTCAACTCAGATCGAGGGCGTTAGAACTGATTAAAGTATAATCTTCATTGAATTTATTTCTTCTTTCATACGAACATTGAAATGGTGTACACCGAATTTCTAGCTTTTGCCCATATGTACATATCTTTTTCTCTTTCAATTACTGAAATTTAGCTCTTTTTCTTCTCATTCTTCAGTTTTGTTCTTAGTAGTGTTAACACAGTAGCGCTGACGTCACACAATGAAATATTAAAGGTGATGCTTTTAATACGCTCAAGAAAAACACACGATAGTTTCTGATTACAAAATATACGGCAATAATTCTATCTAATACCATTCTCCAAAATTTTCCTGGAAGCCAATGGTTACGATGCCAGAAAGGTATGACACCGAAAGAAATTTGACCAATCAGGTTCACTGTGAATTTTGATGAATACTAGCTGATTGATACCATTTTTAATACCGGTTGATTAGTTACAAGTTTTATAAGGTATCATGCCTTTCCGGTATCATAAAATTTTTGGATAAACATTTGGAACCTAGATATGTCTTAGAACTAATTTTACCTCCAATATATAAAATGATGAGCATAACTGATGTAGAACGATTAATCGAAAACCCAACCAATCCAGAAAATATGATCTTATACAGTTCATGGTGTAAATGGGCTAACAAACCTAAGATGTGTGGGCAGTACGCCGAGAAGAGTCCAGTGTAGACTTAGATGAAAAAATTTCAGCGAGTTTCATCTGGTTACGTCGATGTTTTGGTGTGAACAGGTTACCTTGCTCAATCCATAAATGATAAATTCAATGAATTCAAAGTTATCAAATGATGTGCATGTTGGCACAAACGTTGACAACGTGAAAATTATATATAAGTACCTTGTACTTAGGGATAGTGACATTTGCAACTTAAGGTATGTCTTACTTAGAACTAATTTTACCTCCAATATATAAAATGATGAGCAAAACTTAGTCTGAGCTTTCGAGTGCAACTTATTATCCTGAACTTTTTGAAATATACACTCAAGTACAACACCCTCAACAATGCGGATGGTAAATTATCAAATTGCCCACCATTTACTAATTTATTTAAGATCAATTCTACAACTTAGGGAAAAATAAACAAAATGGAATGACAAATTAGAAGGGCATAATGATTGCACTGAGACCAGAAGCAACTCTGAAATTCAATAGTCTCTAAAAACAGTGAACTTTGGAGAGGAGGCTGCATTCATTATTTACATTAGTTTCAAACAAGTCTCTCCCGTTAGGGGTGTAAACGGTATTTGAAAATTCGAGTCCAAAATCGAGATTATATATAATTTAATCGAATTTGGATTATTCGAATGCCATTGGCAGTCGAATTTGAATGAAGCATTTTTATCGATTAATTAATCAAATCGAATTCGAATAGGAGTTGATCTGATTCGATAATTATTCGATTTGATAAATATATATTATACGTATATATCGATATATATATTAATATATTATTTTGTTGGAGTACAATGAATGATGCCTTTTGAAAATTTTCTTTTATAATATTATTTTAATAATAAAGACAGAGACACTATGATGATTTTTTGGTCAAATAAAATAATATTTTAATACTTTTTATATTTTAATAATAAAACAATTGAACCAATGCGGATGTTATGATGATTTTTGGAACAAACAAAGTTATATTTTAATATTTTTTTATCAAAAGGCCCGCATCTCATTAATTATTTTGTACTTTTCATTTCAATCGCTTTTAATTTACTATTCATCTTTCTTCTTCCTCAGTTCTTACTCTGCAACATGTTTTCTTCGCATCTTTTCTTTTGGTCCATTGCAACTTGTAAGTTTTAATGTTAATTTCCCTTTCTTCATTCCTTTTTTTATTTTTTACATACAAGTGTTTTTTATTAGTCGCTTTCTCTCTCTTCCTCTCTCTCCATCTCTTGCTCTCTTTCCCTCTTGATGTTGCAAAGCACATGAACTTGGTGGACAATTTCTCTGTTGCAAACCACACTAATGGTGATGCTTGTTGCAGTGACATCAAATTGATAGACGGCTATGATTCAAAAAAATAATTAATTTGTTTTTCTTTTTTTTGAATATTAAATCAATAGGGAATGAAAAAAAAAAAAAAAACTTCAAACCAGGTTTCTTCTTCTTCCCTTGATGAAGAGGTCGGTGTTAAAAATGTATTTCAAATTCGAATCAAATTCGAACATTCGATTATTTAGACAAATTCAATGTGTTGCTTTAAGAAAACGTCGGATATTGAATCGAATTCGAATATGTATCTATTTAATCGGTTTCGAATTCGAACCAAACCTGATCCAATTCAAATTCGCTCCGTTTACACTCCTATCTCCCATTTCTCATACCTATTATAGAAATAGACCCAGTGAATGGGGGAGAGAAGACTTCATTGTTTGTTACCAGAAAAAAGGAGACAGAATTATAAAACCATTATGCCCAATTCGTGCATCACTGAGCAAGAAAATGAAGGTTGATGCACAGGCTGCTGCGTTGCTTCAAAACATGGTTTATTCAAATTTGAAAACGAAAATGGGAAAGAAAGTACAATTTTGTGATTTTAAAATGTTTAATGTAAGGTTTCTCAAGAATTGCTTAAAGCATATGGTCAGTCATTGGACTAATCGGGAACAGGGTCTAGAGCATTTACCTATTGAAAATCAAGATCTATTTGTGGATGGTGGATCATCTCTGCCACGAAACTACAAAGACATGATATTTGAGTAGTCATAATTTAATTGTTATCTATCAACATGGCAACATCCACTTTTAGACCTTGTCGATTAAAGGAATCACAAAAATGCAGCTCCGCTATACGTACACAACAAAATACCCCTTCTCTCATTTTTTTTTAAGGCCTTGTTAAGCCAAAATCTACAAATACCAGTACTGTTACATATTATTATTACGAAGAAATCACCATGAAAAAAAAGGCTTTCATACCAACTAGACACCAACCCAACGCTACAAGTTCAGCTTCTAAAACCCGGTGGAGAAATGTCTAATCTGAATCTGATGGAGGCACTAATTGAACTTCGCAGTTGCACCAGGAAAAAAAGGGTGCAGCAAAAAGAAGAAATGCCTGATACAGTCAAGGCGTAGTGAAAGGCTCCAGTCATTTTGATATCTTTGCAGTCAGTTCTCTTACCAGCTTTGCAGCAACCATTGCAGTCATTCCATCAACAGTGTCACGCTGTGGGTTGAACTCCACAACGTCTGCAGCTACAATATCAGCTTGGAGATTGTGGATGATGTTTAGCACATCACGGAAAGAAAGACCTCCTGGCTCAATGTGCGACACCCCAGGAGCAAACGCAGGATCAAGGCAGTCCACATCCAATGAAATATATACCCCCTTCACGCCCTCCCCAAGTTTCTGTCCAAAATATTTCAAAACATATATGAGTAATTCAGCATACCATTATTTTCTTTCAAATGCTGGTTTTTCATTGGGGTGGCATGTGATCATGGTCGCAGCATTGTGTTAAACATCTATTGGTGTCTGAATTAATTTTTTTTTCTCTTCTAATTGCATGTACGATTTGAGTTAAGTTTAAGGTCAACAATAACAGACTGAACTATGACCAATTCATAGCAATACCATGTGTGCGTGCGAGTGCGTGTGTGTCTGAGAGAGAGAGAAGAGAGAGAGACCAGATTCTCCAAAACATGGCGATCTCTTGAAAAGTTTCGCATTTCATATTGCTCCACACCAAATTTTTTCCCTTGTTCACGCCCTTCTCTTGTTATTGACCTAATACCAACCTAAAATCCCATCAAAATAAAGTGCATTAGTACAAATTAGTGCAAAGCCTTAACCTATATGAGAGCCAAAAAATAGAAATTAAAATATTATATAAATTTTAATTTCAGTTTCAGTTTCAAGGATGACCAGACAGAAGTCCATAAAGAATTATAATATTATATAATTCTACTGTGAAATAGAGAAGAAAAGGAAGCTTTAGACAATTAGAAGATCAAATCGGAAAAAGATAACATTGACATGAGAAAGATGAAAAAGGGAGAAAAAAAAATCCTCAAACCTCCCGAGGTTTGCCATAATTATAAATACTAACACCTCCCCAGTTTTGTCCTAATCCTTAAACATCCCATATTAAATGATTCTGCTGTTAACTTTAACAGAACAGGAGAAATATCAAAAATGTCCTTGTAGGGTTTTGGATGGTTGAATCTGATACCAAAAATGCCCTACCTGTAGGTGGGTCACCTGAATTTTGATGTGACCAATTAAAGGGTAAGATATAATCCAAACTTTGATGTCGACTTTTACAAAATTTCAAAGGGCAAATTATTAGATGATGTCACTAACAGGATTGATTTTGAGAGGAGTATTTGGTGATGTACATGCAATACACTTTCATTTTCTTTTGACTTGAGAAGGTAGATTTTTCAGTTAAACATTTAGGGGATGTTTGTCATCAATGCCGATTTCCTGAAAATCACTGTCATGTCAGTCATGTCAGCATTAGAGGAATCAGTGCTGAAATTTCTACTTGGTCGCCCGATTTTGGTGATTTTCAGAAAATCAGCCAAAAATCTATTCTTGAAATCTGTCATTTTTCAGGAATATTTTTGGTGATTTCCTGATTTCCAGCTGATTCTGATTTTTTTGAGGATGACATGGCATCCAATGTGGCATTGAATAATAACTCCAATGCAAAAATAATCAGCCCTTGAGAATCAGTACCAAACAGGCTCAAAGCCAATTTCTCAAAAATCGGCTTACATGGCAGAAATGATACTAAATAACAAAATTTACCGATTTTTGAACAATCAATAAGGAAGAATCAGCATCAATGCCAAACATCACTTTACATGTAAAAATAAAGTCACAATGGGCATTTTGGTCTTTTTGATTTAAAGTCAAATTTGAATAAGGGCACTTTAGGGATTTTTTTTTTTTGGACTGGAAATGGTAACTTCATTAACATAAAATTAGTATACAACTGTCAACCCCTATTTTAGGGAGTTGAACCCAAAGTCATCTTTTTACAACACTGCCTAGAAGGCCAGAACAAACTCTCCCTCACAGTCCCTTGTTTGGCTAAGGTATCAGCTAGTCCATTAGCTGATCTTCTTGTCCACTTGAAGTTTTCTCCAATCTCCCTTGTTATGTTGAGCCTTATGGGCTGTCTATATATCCATGCTCCTAATCTGCTTGAATGCATCTAGTCGATTAACAATTTGGAATCCCCTTCTATCTCAATTTGATGTAACCCCGGTTGTTTTGCATATCTTACCGCTTGAAGCAAAGCCATCGCCTCCACACTCAATGAGTCCCCCTCCTATTCTCCCCGAAAACATTGCAAAAATTCTGCCCTCTCCATCTCTGAATACTCCCCCTATATCCGAAGGACCTGGATTACCTCCTATTGGGATTTCAGCAGAACTTTTATGTCATGTTTAATCAAGTGTTGACAATAACCAACATTGGAACAAGTGAAGGGAGGTTTTGGTCCGGCCATATCAGTCAAGAGGGAATGTTTTAGTATTTAAGAAACTTCAAGGGAGGCTTAAGGATTCTGTAAAAAAAGAATAAGGAAATTGGTATTGATATTTCAAAGCATTGAAATTTTTACTGAAATTATGAGTAAATGATGAATTTTCACAGAATTTTTGTTAAAAGATTCCATTTCAAGCCAGGTCAAAATTCTGTTCAAAACCCAATTTTAAATTATCATCACCATCATCATCATCATCATCCAAGCCCTATCCCAACTATAGGGGGTCGGCCACATTAATCCTGTTTCGCCATTCCGTTTTGTTCAATGGCAAATCAGCTGTTAAATTATTGGCGCTTCAATCGTTTCTTACTACTTCTGCCTATGTCCTTTTTGGCCTACCCCTAGCCTTTCTAGCCCCTTCAACTTGCAACAAATCATTTCTTACAGGTGCTGTTGATGTCTTCTATTCACATGACCAAACCATTTTAGTCTACTTTCTCTCATTTTATCACCCTATTGAAGCTACTCCTAGGTTCCTTTGAATGACTTGAATACTCATCTGCACATCATCATTTGCATTTCAAAAACTGGAACTAGATAAAGTTTTCAAAATGGAGTTATAGATTAGTTCATGTAGAAAAAGTTGCACTCCTCCCTTCATTGTAACAACTAATTGAACACAATGGTCACTTATAGACATATACTGTTTGGGTCCTTCACTATCAACTTAACATTCTTTTATTCTGCATTCCCTGATTTTAGTTTATATGCTTTGCAGAATGAATCCTCAAACAGTATATAGTACTCATTGATTTTGTTCCCATATTGGTGCAGTAGCAAATTCATCAATCATGATGAAACTGGAGGATGATGTAGAATTACTCCATAATCATCAAAACCTAGGTCTTTTAGAGGGACTGCTTATCGAAATTCTAAACAAATCCACATATCTATGCTCAAATAATAACCGAATCATGTTTTTGATCATTGAACAGGTAATTGAATAACCTTTCCAATGACAGTGAATCAGGCCAAACAGGCAAATTCAAGACAAAGGGGTGCTTCTTGTACAAGAAATCAAGAAATACAAAAGAAAAGAGTGCAAACAGAGAAGACACAAGATTCAATGTTGTTGGGGCATTTTGTGCATTTGTCCACAGAAGATCCCTATGAAACTAACTATTCTCAATTCAATTGAACACAGCCCTAGCAAACAGACTAGATTTTATATCATTGAATTAAATCTCAATACATCCAAAAGTGAGAACAAACGTGTAATCTAAAGGCATATATGAAAGATGGTAGGACTGCATGGAAATGGTTGTCGCAAATCAATATGTTCAATAGCCATGTATATTGTCAAACACTACTAAAATCCTCAGAAAGAAACAGTATTTATAAAATCTACATTTAACAAAGTATAACATTACTTGTAGAAGCCGTCGAGCATAACCACCCTCCATTATCCGGGCAAAAGGAGAAGCATGTGAATACTTGTTTCCTTCGAAGGCATGATAAATATCAGGATGAGCATCTAAATGAAGAATATCAACAGGCCCACCAAGCTTTTCTGATACAGCTCTTACAACAGGAAAAGATATTGAGTGGTCCCCACCTAGAACTAGTGGGCGTAGTGGATCCTGAATAAGTGTTGAAACATGTCAAGGATTTAGTTCAGTTGTGCTTATACTCCTTTTTTTGTTTTTGTAATAAAATTTCGTTTACTATCAAAGAAATGAGAGAGAGAGAGAGAGAGAGAGAGAGACTTATAACATCAGAAAAGCATGATTAAATTGTCAAAAAATTATCTAATATGCAATCTTATTTATCCATTTAATAATGTCAATGTATATATGTGGTACAGTCCAGCATACCAAACAACCACCAAAAACATGAAAATAAAGACTGGACATTTTGGTCATTCAGCATTCCCCATTCTCATGGTTCATAATACCACTAGAAAATACAACACCCTTAACAAGTAAAAACATTGCAATTACTTCATATTTTAGTCACTACCAACAGATAGATTGCCATTAGAACCAAAGAGTGGCTGGGATGGTTCCAAATGTCAATTTCATATAAACTAAAAATGATAAATGGTTGATGAACTTGTCACTTTTCTTGTTTAAAGATGAAAACATGAGACACAACTTCCAATTTTTCCTCCTTTGTTGGAGCATCTCATTATGTTTTGGTTATTTCCTCATGCTACCGATATGATCATTTTGATTGTTAAAGTTAATAAAAAGGGTGAATAATGTCATCATAATGTTCGAATATATCATGTGACAACATGCTATTTGACAAAGGGGGGATCTGTAATAATCAAATAATTATTGGTAAGGTATTTGTAATTTACACTAAAAAAGATTGGTTCCTCATGAACTTTATTCACACAAGTCCTTACTAGAAGAGATTAAATTCATATTAGTAAGATTCACTTTCCAAAAAAGAAACATGACGATGGACAAAAAGTGTATATAAGCATTGAAGGACATATACAATAAATAGTTTGATACTAAAAGTGACCAAATAAAATAAAACAGAAAAGCTATGTAAAAATGCTAATAAAAAAACTACTTTTCCACCACAATGCATGACCTTTCTAACACAAACACCAGACATATGTTAATTAGACTTCACTTCTCAAAATATATTTCGAATTCCATAATTTAAAAGAGAGAGAAAACCTCAAAAGAAAAAAAAAAAAAAAAAAAAAGAAAGGAGTTGTGCAACCAAGAACACAGACACAAACAGTTTAAATATGTAGAAGGTTAAAAATGAAGGTCCAATTACAGAATGTTCTGTAAAATGTTTTAACTTTTTCGAATTTCTAACAGCAGAAATATCCATAGGCATTCTTGAAGAAGAGTTCACAGTACAAGCAAGCTTACTTCTTCCATCACCAGCTTCACAGAATCACTTATAATATTCATTAATCTATCATCATCTACACCACAATCACGAATCTCTTGGACAGGAACATCCCCAACGTCAGTTAGCACCCGTGGATCATTTAATTCTTTCCCTGCAATGTCCCAAGTGTCATATTATTTTAAAACATTGACAATATCAAAAATATGCAACATGCAGAACAATGGGAAGAGACATCATTTTTTAATAGTTAAACTATAGATGTAGTAGGTCATGTGGATTTGTTTGGTTGCTGCAACATTCTAACCACTTCGGACAGTGTCTCATGGATTTTTTTTGGAGTAACTTCATTAGAAAACAGAAGAGCGAAATATATACATGAGATGATGTACAAGCCACACAAATAGCAAGGATACATAGCCCAACTAAAAAAACAAACTACTTGGGCATTACGGTGGTGCTATACAAAAAAGACCCCTCCACTCCTGATTTAGCTAATCTATCAGCCATGTAAAGTTAACATCCTAAAGTCCCTATCTAATCTGACCATTCAGCTCATAATGAATTTCTCTAACTCCATTCAAGAGGTACGATAGTCCCCAGGGACCACTGCCCCCATTTCGGGCCCATGAAATAACAATTCTGGAATCACCTTGCACTGTCATTGATGTGATTTGTAGCTACTTGGTTGTTCTGAGACCAACTAGCAAGGCTCTTCTGCTTCAGTGGAATCCCAATTGTTGTTGTTGTTGTTGCTTAACTAGTAAACAAAGGGGCCATCGCTTGGTGCAATGATAAAATATCAGACTGACTGTGCATGAGAATGCAGGTTTGAGTCTGAGAGCAGCCACTTTGTGCAAAAAAATTCCAAAGATTAGGTCTGTATCCGATTCACCCCTCCCAAGACCCTGGATAGAAGGGACCAACATTGGATAAATGCCCCTCATATTTTATCAGTAAAGGAGATAATTCTAAAGGCCACTACCCAATGCTGATCCCAGCTGTCTGGGGTCTTGGGAGGGGTACCCTTACTAAAAGCAAATTTTTCTATATAAGGATCTGGATCCAATAATCATTAACCTTTCTTATCACAGTATCAAATAAAGCAAACTTTTATATGGACTAAAAGAAGGAGACAAACAACAAAATAGAATGATTAAGGAATGGTAAAATGGTGACAAATAAAGTTGAAGTTGATAAATAGGTAAAAATAAAAAGAAACAAGAAAAAATAACAAGATTTTTATATGGATGCAAAGAAATAAAAAAACAAAGAAACTTTTGCAATTTGCCTCCCGAGAAGAGGGAGTAACAATTGAAGCTTTGATCTTTTTCAATTAAAAAAAAAGTAAAATGGAATGCAAGAAAGGGTAGAATGAATTAGGTTACAAATAGAACCACCAAATGATTCTGATTCAGTGCATGTCCATCACCCGGTCACTCACTTCTCATCTTTCAAATGCATTTTAGTCCCAGCTTCTTTTTCCGCTTTTACTACCACTCTAGTAAATATGTTAGATTCATGGCTTCTCTCATATGGTACATGAGTAAATCAATGTTTTACCTTCTTCAGTTGTAGAGTTTGTGCTGCCACACCAGATAGCTTCCCTGATCCGTGGAGGAGCAAATGCTGGACCCTGAAGGAAAGATGAGTTATGTCCCAATGGAACTCCTAGGAGTGATGCTGATGCCACAGCACCTCCTAAAGCCCGCACCAGCTCTCCCTGAGGAAAAAAAAAAATTATTGAAACTTAGGTCGTAAGGTTATATTATGATAGATGAAATTTAGAAGCGTCGTTGAAATATGTAAGGCTCCGCTCCTCTCCCTTCTTATCTCAGTTTTTCCTTCTTAATTCTACTTACCATTTGTGCTCAGATGAAACCAGCATATGAGATATGATAAGTTGAATAATTTATATACACTTATTTATCATTTTATTTAAACTTTTTCTTAGAAAGATGAGATCCCATATTGACTCTTAAGTTTCAAGGCTTGTGCCTCATTCCTTTAAAGATCCTACCACCTCACCAGCTCACCTCACACCTCCACCTTTGAAAGCATTGTTGTCACTTAACCACTTCCCTAAACAGCTTGTGGTAACTCAATAAAACACTCAACTTTTGGGGTAGGCAGGTAGCAACAGCTGTAGCACAGGGAACTAGAAAGAAGTTATCCTATTTCTTGGTATAGCTCATATTTGACTGGCAAAGGCTTCCTTGCAAATTGGACAAAGAATAACCCTATTACTGATTAACATAAATTGGCCTTGGATGATAATTACATAAGACACGTAAGTAGATTTCTGTGTACACAGTAGAACATAGTTTAAATGAAAGCATACCTTAAGTTTTGCTCTCTCACGAATCAGAGTGAGTGAAGCATCTATAACACGATTCTGACCCTTCTCTAATAAAGCAGAAGGGATGTTTGCAGCATTCAGTTTTTGCATGTAGTGGATACCTCTCCTCCCAAAATTCCACATGCCTGTGAATTCAAAGACAAGATCCAGCACTTTTAATCCTTTGTTATTATATGTGCTTACAAGCCAATATTTCTTTGAAAATATTTTGAGTTTCTTGAAGATTTCTGAAGATGCAAGGTGAGCTATGCTGTATGGAGCAGAGTATTGGGCAATCAGGAAACATGTCCAAAAAATGACTGTAGCAGAAATGCATATGCTGAGATGGATGAGTGGTAAAAATATAAAGAATAATATAAAAAATGAAGTCATTCTAATGAAGTCAGTAGTGGCTCAAATAGGTGATAAAATTTGAAAATTTGAGAATGTAGTGGCTCAAATAGGTCACTTGCATAGAAGACCATTGCCAGCACATGTTAGGAAATGATTCATTGCATGTTGAAGGGGATAGAAGGGCTAGAATTAGACCAAAAAAGGAAATGGGTTGAAGTAGTAAGAAATGATTCAAGTGCTCATAATTTAAAAATGGATGTGGTATTAAACAGAAAAGAATGGCAAAACAGGATTCATGCAGCCGACTCCATATAGTTGGGATAAGGCTTGGATGATGATCATTATCATGATTGACATCTTTCACACAAAACAAGGGAACTAGCATGACCCAGAAACCATTGTTGAACTAGAATTCTACTAATAGAAAAACTAAAAATAAAAGCATAGGTTAAATATATATATATATATATATATATATATGTAGTATCAGCATAGAAGATCAACAATGAACTTGACTCCCAAATGAGATATCCATGCTTGTCTGAAAGCATATATGGATGCAAATCCTTGATAAAGGCAAAGGAAAAGCAGCAAAACAGATTCCAGGTTACCTAAATCACAAACCATAGATTATGTCTTGTTTCCATGTCAGACAATTCATTGTAAACTTTGCGAAGACTGCTAAACCCAACCCCATGTTTCATGCCTAACCACTTGATTGGTTAGCACTACACTTCCTTCTAGTCAAATTCTCTATTATTGTGTTTTACTGGAACTCGGACTAAGTGCAGTTAGAGGGACTTCCTTTTGCTCACAGCAAATAATGCAGAATGCCCACAATAATGCTTGGTAAACAAATTAGCAATCCAGTCCCTAACACATTCTTAATAAATAGGTTCAATTAAAGCAAAGGCCAATTTAATATGAAAGTATATATAGCTTGTAGAAGCAATATAAGAGATTTCTATGCCTCAAACAGAAATTTCTGCCCGACATTTCTTCAGAGAAAACCAGTGAATCATTTGGCGACCCATATATTCTTTGGTAATGCAAATTTTATTTCAACTAAGTACCAAGACCAGCTGATTTACCCATTCTTTTCTTTTTCTATGTTTTTTTATCAAAATTTCAAACCGCTGCTTAAATCATATTAAGTCACTCCTAGACAATCTTCTTGATTTGAAAATTTTCAATTAATAAGTGGTAAAGCTTGGGGCGATGGTTCATTCAGGGAGAAAGGGTCCAGAATCCAGGCACCATCAGACATGGAATATCTGGCATGAAACATATATTACTCTGTAACCTCGAGCAGCATAAGAGAAAAAAGAAAAAGGCACATAAAGTAACAGACTATGTGCTGTCTTAGCACACTGAACTCGCACTTTTTTGCTGATAAATTATAGTTGTGAATTTAAAAGAAACCCTTGGGGCCTTGGGGACAGAATGGCTCAGCTTGAGTTTGGAACAGAGGCTTGGAATCCAACACTTTGTCCAATCTCGAGTCAAAGAAATGAAATTCTACAAAACGATAGAATAGGGTTTTAAAGATTTGTTTCAAAATGGTTATAAAAAAAAAATAGGGGGAGAAAAGGATGAAAGACGGCAAGAGATGATCATAACAGAGTACAATGATTCTATTAGACGCTGAAAATGAAAGGTAATAAAAACTTTAAGATTTATACCTTACCTGAAGAACCGCAGAAGTCGTAAATGAGAAATAAGAAGCAGAAGAAGAGCTGAGCAACCGCAACCACCAACAACAGCAAAGATGGATCAATCAATCGATCGCATGGTTATGAAACGCAACTTAAGACGCCATCACACGCAACAGCTTTAGTACTGAATGAACGACGAATCAATCATATGGATATGCTGCTTATTTTTATAATATTATCCGTTTTTAATGGATTCCTCATCCCTCGAAGGTCGAAGCTCAACAGACGGAGAGCAGAGCAGAGCGTAAGCGCTAAACGTAACCCACGGACAAGAAATAACAAACTCGAAGTGGAAACTGACGTCACGCTTTTCCATGTTGATACAGATGATTTATTTATTTATTTATTAAAGCCTTAAAGGTATTATACTGCGCCAGGGGTGCAGGACGCACATATCCTTTATTAATATTAGAATTTAGAGTATCCTTTTTCTGTTCACTGCTGTCGCCTATACGTCTGCTTTTGTTTTTTATTGGTGGGTATAAATCATTCTTTTCCTTTTGCAGTGAGCATCCACCGTAAGTGTGCTTACACGTGGCCATTGATGGGTATTTTAGGAACTTTAGGAATCCAGATAGTACCTGTCGGTCTCGGATCGGTGGATTCGATGGATGTCTGATCAATTATGAATGATTTTGGACTTTTATCTGGGTTTGGCCCATAACTTGCCAGCTGTCATGGGCAAATAATGCACGCCGTGGGCCCATCTCCACCATTCATTGAGAAATGAGAACCCACAGACTCCAACCAAGTTTTACTACAGACAGCGGATTCTTAATGTCAATGATAAAAGCGAGAGTCAGACACACTAGTAAAGTAGTAATCCGGTTCTACAAAACTGGATCCGAGAATGGAGCATTAATATTGGATCCCAACTCAGTTCCTAGGGTTTTAAGACCCATTTGTAAACGGGTCCAAGAGAACACCCGATTACTGAATACATTTATTTCCTTTAATCTTATGATTAAAATTCTCACTTGTTCTTAGGTTGAAAATGGTCGGGTTGGGAAGAATTAGGCCAAGGCCTGCTCTCAGTTAAGCGAGACCACATCTCCGCCCCACAACGTCCCGCCCCACAATGCTGTGGGGCGGAGATTGTGAATTCCAGTTAAGCACCAATCCTAGCAAACCTAGGCCTATCCCACTGTTACAGTGGTTGTCTTGGCGAATTGGGCTTGGTAGCCTAATAACAAACAACAGGTGGTCCCAGTCTTTTATAGGTCCTGACAACATTCGGGATAGATGATTAGATGTATAGAATTGTTTATATTATCCTTTGAATTGCCCATTTCAGTATGTCTACCAACTTGAAATTATTACTCTTTTTATCAAAAAAAAATTAAGAAAAGGGAAGTTCATTATGCAAGATACATGCATCTTGAAGAAGATGGAAGATGGAAGATGGAAGATGGAAGATTGGTATTCTTTTTCTTTATTTTATTTTAGAATTCCATTTGAATTCCTACACTTTTGCTTTTGGCGCATATGATTAAGGTGCACATGTGACATGTCCAAGCCCTTGCTGGTAATGCACTTCAAAAGTCCGATACCTGTTTGGAAAAAATTTCGATACATTATTATGTATTGGCCTGTATTGAAGTTCGCTTTTCTATTTTTCTTTACTTTTTTAATCTGGTTCAGAAGGATCGGTTTAAGGCTCTTTTATTTCCTAAATTATAATCTGCCCTGAAATATACACTGTAACAATGTATTAAAAAGCCATAGATATGAACGGACGGTGGCGATTTGACAGACCGGGAGCGCAATATCATAAATTGAAACAGAGAACGACGAGAACGAAACGTCTCAGAAAATATTATTTTAGAGAAAACGAGGAGCCTTTCACCAAGTATCACGTCTTATAAATTTCAAGTTGAAAATCCACTCGAAGAATTGGGCAGTCTTTTTGAAAAGATAGTTAATAGTCAAATTGAGCTTTTGATATAAGATCTAGATAGCTTGAAGACCGTTTGGCAGATGCGTGTCTTTTCATACATTGTTTTGGGTCTTTCCACGCAAGATTAAAACGTAAAAGACGCGAGAAGCTTCATTTGGAGCTTCCCGAAATCAGCCCAAAATGGGCTTTGCGCGTTTTTTCGGCGCGTCTTTTGACGGTTAGATCTTCCGTGTGCCAAACGGGAATAGATCGATTTTCAATCTTCCCACATGTAAACAACCGAAAGACCGCACAAAAAGACGCGCCAAACGGCGCCAATGAATGAATCATATGAAGCCCGAGTTATATACACCTGTCAATTTAGGACCACTAAACCACTTTCTTCCCACGAAACGAGCAATTGCATTATGCAATTCCTCCTCCCTCACAAAAACAAAATGATCCGATAGATCTTACTACTCTCCATTCTCAGCAAGCTAGGGGGGTGGAAGCACCACACAAGGAAGATGAGAGAAGGAGAGATCCATATCATCCACGGAAGAATCAGAAGAAAAAAATCAGGTACTAGGTACAAGATCTAAACTTCACCTGCCAAAAATAAAAATCCTTTTTTTATAGATAAAAATAAAAAAAGGGAAAATTCTCAATTAGTATCTTGTACTTTGTGCCTAATGTCACTTTGGTCCCCGGACTTTAAATTGCGCAATACAAATATCCAAACTTTCAAAATGTGACAATCCAGTATTTGCCATTAATCAGTTAACCTGTCATTCAGTGACATTTGAAAAGGACACAAATGCCCTTCAAGTGTCATTTAATTTTCTTTATCAACCATCTAAACGTTGACAGAAAAAATTAACAGTCCCAAATCCTTGCTTCTTCCATTCAAGAAAGTTGGGGTTACGTTTAAGTGGGCATGGATTTGGGAGGACCAAAGTAACACTAGACCCAAAGTACAGGGTACTAATCGGGAATTTTCCCATAAAAAAAAAACTGATATAAATCTAAGGCCATGTTTGGGAGTGCTTAAGTTAAAAAAATAAGTACTTATTAAATAAGTGCTTATTCGAAATAAGAATTTATTTGCATTTCACACTCAAATTTTTCAAGTGCTTATTTTTTAAAGTAAGCATTTATTTTAAGATAAATTACAAAGACCCCCCAGTACTATGGGGTCTATGACAAAGACCCCATGTACTTTGTTTTCCGACAAAAACCCCCTTGTACTATGGTCGTGAAATAAAGACCCCCTTCCGTTAGCCTTACGTCCAAAAAGGTTGTTACAATATTTTTTAATCCCCATACTACCCTTGTAATAACTATTCGGACGATAAAAACACTATTCATCTTCCCTGGCCTCACGATACACTAACAGCAACAGTAGTAATCCCCTCTACCTCAGATTCCTTCACATTTCTTTCTCTCTCCCTCTCTCTCCTCTCTCTCCCCCCGATCTCTCTTCTTCCCCTTCCCCTTAACATCATCAGGATTCAACCCATTTTCACTAGTTTGGTGCACTTGCTCTGAACGAGTGAGAGGTGATACAAAGCTAGTGCCGAGTCTTGTCGAGCCCGCTCGCTCTTAAGCCGGGGTAGGTGCAGAAGTGGCAGCAACACCCCTAACACCCTTATTGTCATTTTGTTGTCATCGTCAAGCACCATGCTGAAGAGGGCACTAGCAGGTGATGTATAGGGGGGGGTAAAGTAGTTAGTCAGGTTCATGGATGTAATAGGGTTGCAGTGCCAAAATCTCAGCCTCGATTGTTAATCTTCTGTCGACCCATTTATTAGCTCTGCATTTCAGCTTTAGTATCGCTTCTCTACTGAAATGGAAGATCCTCTCACTTAGAGGGGCATCGGCTGAGAACGTCACCTGGGGACCGCCCTCTGGGAATCGAAGCACCGCAAGAGAACCGTTGACAAAATTGTGGCAAAAATCTGGTGGCCTCGTGAGTTTGTTGACACCCCTGCATACCTCAGCAAAGGCGTTGAAGAAGTTCCAGAAGGACATACTGTCAGCCACTACGTGGTTGACAATGCAACCAATGAAGATTCCGTCGGCGAGATCAGTCACATGGACGGTGGCTATGGGCTTGAAATGGCTGTCGTAGCTGATGGTGCGGTCAAAGGCGAATAACTCCTTAATGGAGTCCAGAACGTGGATGGGAGAGAGAATGTCACGAATGGGGAGGTGAGCAGCGTTGGCATGGAGAAAGTCGATGCCAGCATCATTGCAGGAAATGTAAACGTAACCATCATCGTCAATTATGAGACGCCCAGCGAGGGCAGGAAAATATATCAGAGTCTTGGAAAGGCCGCGTTTAAGAAAAGAGAGAAGAGAATCGATGGGAAGAGGAGGATGAGTGTAAAAAAGGCCCTTCTGTAAATAATGGCAGGAGAGCATATGGAGATCAGAGACGGAAAGCTTGAGTAATCCAAGTGAGGATTCATGTTCTAGGAACACAATGCATTTGGAGATGATCATAAGAGAAGATGAGGAAATCATTTTGTTCTTCTCTCAATGTCTCACCCACACACACACACTCTCTCTCTCTCTCACTACTCTCTACCTTTAGCACAAAAGCCCTGAGAGCAGCGGGGATGTTAAGGGGAAGGGGAAGAAAGAGAGGTCGGGGGGAGGGAGAGAGAGAGAGAGAAAGAGAGAGAGAGAGAGAGAGAGAAATGTGAAGGAATCTAAGGTAGAGGGGATTACCGCCGCAGTTGTTAGTGTATCGTGAGGTCAAGGAAGATGAATAGTGTTTTCTCGTCTGAATAGTTATTACAAGAGCAGTATGGGGATTAAAAATTATTGCAATGACCTTTTTGGACGAAAGGCTAACGGAATGGGGTCTTTGTCCCACGGTCATAGTATAAGGGGGTCTTTGTCGCAAAACAAAGTACAAGAGGGCATTTGGTAGCCTTTTTCTCTAATAAGCACTTAAATAAGCATTTGTGACTATTTTGTCCTTTATTTCTTTCAAATTTTGAAAATATACCCTTTGAAAGAACTTTTATTAAATTACTTTTATAAAAACACTTTTATGAACGTACATTTACAAAAGTGCTTTCATAAAATTACTTTCTTAAAAATGCTTTCATAAAAGTAAATTTATAGGAGTGCTTTTGTAAAAGTGCTTTCATAAAAGTACTTTTATATAAAATTCAACTAGGGATAATTTTATAAGTGGTATTTTAAAATTCAACTATAAATAATTTTGGAAGAAAAAAATTGAATAAGTGCTTATTGTATAAGCACTTAAAAAAAGTTGGAAATTTAGGCTTAAAAAATAAGCCCTTATTTTTTAAATAAGCACTTATTTTGGGCTTATTTCCCAAATACCAATAAGTGCTTAATGGCCTAAATAAGCACTTATTTTAAGCACTCCCAAACATGGCCTTAGATTAATGAACAATTTGGCAAAGATAAAAGACAACAAAAAGAATATGCGAGCAAGAACCAAAGAATGGATTTCGAGGTACATGCTGATATTCCGAAGGACTCAAGAAGATCAGCCATGCTTGCTCTTCTGCTGCAATTCAAAGCTTTTGTTATTACCAGCTACTTCAATGGCAAACTCAATCATGTCTTTTAAATACAAACTAGCGGGACGATGCATGAGATTTGTTAAAGTGAAAGACAAACAATAGAAACACATAAATGTATATAATTGTTTTATATTTTTACCATTTTAAATAATTAATAATTATTTATATTTTATATACTATTTTTAATATTTTTCTGCAATACAACAACAACAACAATAATAATACTAATACTACTACTACTACTAATAATAATAATAATAATAATAATAATAAATTATTATTATTATTATTATTATTATTATTATTATTATTATTATTATTATTATTATTATTATCATCATCTAAGATTGTTTATTAAATTGATGAAACTAACCAACCTGATTTCTAGTATTTCTGGTTGGCTTTGATTCAACAATTTCCCAACTCAACCAGGTTGGATTAGTTTCACTTTGGCAATTTGTAAACCGACCAAAATCGAACGACTTGACCATAGTTATATATTAATATTATATATTTTAAATATATTTCTAATATAGAAAAGTGGAAAATTTCCAATATTTCTTTGTCTAAAATATTTTATATTATAAATTTATTTTTTAATAATTCCATAGTAAATTTTTAAAATTTAAACTTAATTTTTTAAGTTTAAATCTTTCGAAACTGACCGATCAAACCAAAATCGGCCCAAACCGATACAACGCAAGTTGGCCAATTTTCGCTAATGGTCAATTAGTTTTGGGTGACTAACTCCCAAACTTGACCAGGTCGATTTGGTTGGCCAAACAACCTACAACCAAACCGAACCAACCCGTGAACACTCCTAATTGTAGCTAAATTAATAGTCTAATCTCTAAATGACAATAGTTTAATCTTCAATAATTATTGAAATTTTAGCAAAAATACACAATTATTGAAAATATATTGATAATAAAAATATAATAAATAACTAACAAAAATATAATAATTATAAAAATACAATAAATACTACAAAATATCTTAAATTAGTAAATAAATAGTGTAATCTCAAAGAATAGTTTAATCTCTAACAAATATTAATCAACAAATTATAACAAAAATACAATAAGTACAATACATTAAATTTTAAAAGCTAAATAATAGTAGTTTAATCTCCAATAATTATTGAAAATTTTCTGTTAAATAACAAAACAAAAATAGATTTATACATAATTATTAAAAACATATTTATCACAAAAAACAATAAATATTACTAAAATACATTAAATATTAATTTAGTATATATAAATATATGATAAATATAGATTAAGATTTTAAAATTATTATTAATAAATATTAATTTTTTTGAAAGTTATTTTATAGAATTATTAATTGATATAATTGAAATTAGTTATTTACAATATTATTTAGTTATTTAAATAGTATCATTATTTAAATTTTAAAATATTAATTATCTATTGAATTTAATAATCCATAAAATTATAATTCATACTATTAGTACATAATTTCTTTAATAATTTTGTAAAATATTAAATTATTATTAATTTGAATATTATGTTATAATTGTTTTTTAATTTCTTACATAATTTTGTTATTTTAACTATTTAAAATCTAGTTATGTTAATTTTTTCATTTTTGTCTATTTAATAAATATTTTAAAGTTATTATATAATTTTTTTAGAAGATTTAAATAATTATTAATTTTTTTAATTCAAACTTTCTTTAGATAGATGTAGATAAAAAGTGGGGGAAAGGTTAAGTAGGAATTAGAGATAACCTAGGAGAGAAACTCTCTAAATTTAGAGCCCAGATCTCCTGCCTACGAGAACCCTGCCCACGTTTATCGCAGCCACACATGGAGAACATCTCATTCTCTACATAGTATTATGTAGGGGGAGATGTTTCCAATTCACAAGGGGTGGTGTATTGTGGGTAGGCGTGGACAAGGTTCTCGTGGGCAGGAGATCCAGAGTCCTAAATTTAGGAGATAGATAGGAATTAGAGATAATTTAGGAGAAAGTAGGGGATAGTGGGGGAGGTAGTTTATGAGAAATTTTAGGAGAGGAGATTATTTAGGTTTCTCGGAATGTGTGTGGAAGAGAGAGAGAGAGAGAGAAAGAGATTTTAGGTAATTTTTATGGGGAAGGAGAGCATCTCATTGGTTGTTAAAAAATGGCATGGAATAAAAAAAATAAAAAATTCAAAAATATGAGAAAATTCCTAAACTTTCTTCTTTTAACACACACGGAAATATATATATACTAGCAGGGACCTGTGCGATGCACGATAAAATCTGAAAGATTTAATAATTTTATTTTTCATTTAATGTTGATTTATAAAAAATAATTATTGTTAATTGAATATGAACAAATATTTTTTAATAAATTTATTTTTATTAAAAATTGTAGTAATTTTAATAATTTTGTTCTTTTTATTATTTTTAAATGAAATTTTGATTAATTTTAAAATAAATAAAAATAATTATAAAAGCTAACATTTTTATTAACTCCACTAATAATTAACAATTATATAGGAATGACAACAGGGTGGGTTCAGGGCAAGGCACCCCATCCCTTCCTCTGCCCCATTGTCAAGACACTCTACCCCATTCCTGCTCTGACCCTAGTGACACGCAAGTTCAGAGCAAGGTAACAACTCCTCAATGTCGAGTGAGTTCAGGGGCAAGGCATCCCACTCTTCATCAAGGATGGAAAATCCTCGAATTTCCCTACCCTATTCCCAGTATTGGGCAGGTTCAAATATAGGTGTAAATTGGGTCGTGCTGGATCGGCATGACACGACCTGCATGTGGCCCACACAATGTGCGAGTCGTATCGTGCTAGCCCACGAGGCGTCCCGGACCATGCCTCCCTCCTCTAGAATAATTTAGGAGGTCGGTTTGGCACGACCCACGGGTCAAGCCCACAAGAGTCCGTACCGTGCTATGGGTCGGGCTGGTCCATGGGCAAGGCCATGCCGCACACCTAGCCAAGCTTAAGGCAAGGCACCCACTCCCCGTCCAAGGGTTTTAAAATTAGACCAGATAGAGAATCGTTCTAGGGTCAAATGGATGACCCACTCTAACAAAAAATAAAAATAAAAAATTAGAAAAACAAAAAGAGGTAAAAAATTGTTGTCCGGGTTGACGGTTTAACCGCCCATGTCAGCGGTTCGCTAACCAAATAAATGGTTTTTGGACAAAAAGCGGTTTTGAGGTGAAACTATGTTCGGTTCCCAATTTTTTGGTCTAACCATCTAGTTTGATCAAGTTTTGAAAACACTGTCCCCGTCAACCCAATATTTAATTTGAAGATAGAGATGATCAAAATGATATATTAAGTATCAACCACATGGTAAATTTCTAAAAGTACACTATTGTCTTTAATATTGAAAAATATAATTTTATGAAAAATTTGGAAAATTTGAAAATTTTATTGTACTTGTGTAATTTTGAAAATTTATTCAAATTTATTTAATTTTTTATTAAATAATTTATTTTCTTTTTAAATGGTTTACTTACAAAATTATACAAATTTATCTTATAATTTCTAATATAAACTAACCAATAATTTCCTTTTTCCAATATTATACTAATTTATCTTAAKAATTTKTRTRATYATTTGTTCAAATTATAGTTTTCCATTTCCCATAGTCATTTATCTTTAATAATTTGCACTGAAAATTACATAATTTTTCAATGGTTTTCCAAAATCTATCAAATGTAATAAATTTTCCTAAAATTTCGAGAATATTCTAATAATTTTCAATAATTATTTAATGCATTTTAAATAAACTTTCAAATACTTTATATCTTTTAATTTTAAAAATCTTATTTTACAAAAATGTAGTTTTTTGAAAATTTTATTACATTTGTGTATCTATGGGGATTTATTGAAAAAAATTTTAATATTTCTTTATTTGGTAGTTTACTAACAAAATTACACTCATTTATCTTTTATTTTTCAATATAAATTAATTAATAAT